CCCCGCCGGGACCCTTGCCTCCCAGAAACGCTTCTCAAGGTCTCCAGGCCACGTCCCCGGCCCGCTCACCCTTCGCTAAGGTCGCCGTCAGGCAGGGCAGCGTCGGGGTGCGGGGAAGGGGGCCCAGGCTCCAGCACTATGGTGCTGCGGGTGACGTAAACGGACATGCTGGGGTGCTCGATGAGGAGGTCTTCCAGGGGGCTGCTCTGGAGGCGGGCGGGCCCGAGTCCGGGCCCCTCTGCAGTAAAACAGGCGGGAGGGGTAACAAACCAGCTCTCGTCCATCAAGGAGGGCGCGGGCGGAGGGCGGCCCGCGGGGGCAGGAGCGGCCCCGGGACTGGGTGGAGCCGCGTAGCTGTCTACGGGGCGCGGGAGGGGGAGTCATGCGGAGGAGGGGGCGCAGCGGGGAGGGACACACACACACACACCGGACACAGTGGGGCGGGGAGAGAAAGGGTATCGTTAGTCAGACCCGCAGCCCCGCCCGCCGCGCCCACGGGGCACCCACGGGCCAGGAGTCTCGACCAGCTGCCCTAGGGCACGTGAGGTGTGGGCCCCAACGCTGCGCTGCCAAGAGATGGCCTGGGCTATGCACGGGATGGGGCCCTGCTACCCTGCCTTCCCTGTCACTGCCTCAGCGCCAGTTTGCCCAGAAGGCCAGGCGAACTTCCCAATTCCCTAGCAGCTCCCTTCCCCTCCGCTGCTCGGCCACCTGCCCTTCAAAAGCCCAGGAATCAGAGTCCTGGCCCCCGACTCAGACCTCACCCGGCAGGTCAATGATGAGCCAGCCGTCCACTTCATCCTCCTCGGAGACGAAGGCTCGGGGGCATCCGGGGTCTTCGGGGGGCGGGGGAGTACTGAAGAAGAGGCTGGTGAGACGCTGGAACATGGTGGGGGAGTGAAACGGTCTCAGGAGGGCGCCCTGCGGCAGTGCAGAAACCTGGGAGGTACAGAGAGGAGTCAGAGAGACCACTAACTGAAGTCTACCCGCCCCCAACTCCCGGCTAGGGATACCACCCCCCAGCCCTCAGAGCATAGGAGAACCTCAGCGGTGTATGCACGTCCTGGTAAGTCCGCCTGCTTTCATGCTTCTCCATTTTCTGCCTGACCTTAGGTAGTCATTTAACTCATCTGTGCTTTAGTTTTCTCATCTGTCAAATGCCAGTGATAACAGTACCTTCCTCTAGGCCCTTATAAGAATTATACAGCTAATAATAGTATCCTCCTCTGGGCTCTAATGAGAATTAATTGAGCTAAACACAAAGTACTTAGAGCCATACCAGGGCACAGAGTAAGCATTCAGTAAAGGAATCAACTAGTTATTATTAACATTATTGCATGCTCTAGGGACATGGAAGGAGTGATATATGACTAGACTATCAGGAAAGGTCTCCAAAGGGTTGGACATCCATGCTGGACCCTGAAGGGTAAATAGCAGTTCTCCAAGCAAGGAAGAAACTGTCTGATACTGTGATTACTTATTATCATCATCATAATATAGCTAACATTCATGTGCTAGGTACTGTACTAAGCACTTTACCTGTTTTACCACAGGTACTTCTCCCAACAACTCTAGGAAGTGGGTCTAATTATTATCTCTCTTTTACAGGTAAAGAAACTGAGGCTCAGAGAGGTAATGTAACCTGGGCAAAGTCTCACAGTTAATAAGACACAGAGGTTGGATTTAAACCCATAGAGTCGGATTCCAGAGGCAGCACCCCCAATCACTATACTCCATTACCTTTGCTGGGAATCTGTCTGGATTAGGCATTTTTAACTTGATGACCAGAGTATTTTTCTGGGAAGAAGTTTTCATCATGATTACCTAACGTTACTCCTTGACCCCCCAGATGAGGAACCACTACTTGAGCCTTGTGTGGCTTGAAAAGTGCTGGCTAGCAGAAATCCCACAGAACCACTACCATGTGATTGCACAGCTCTCATTTGTGTCTGTCAGATGAGGTTCTAAGATCCTCTTCTCACGGGCCCTCCCCCTCTCCCCCCCTATACCTAACCTCCAGCTCAAGGGCAGCATTCCTGGCTAGGAGGAAGATCAGGTTGCCTGGCCCCAGAGAGACAGCAGGACAGTGAGAGGTAATGATGAAGGGAGGGACTATCTGACCCCAGGAGGCCTTAAGGATGAGCAGTGAGGGTAGGACCAGGACCCAACCCCTCAATCAGTCCTTCCCTGGATGAAAATAAGAAAGGAGATCCCCTGGTCCAGGAATGGAGATGTCAAGGAGGTGGCTATAGATCTGCCCTTCTCCCCCTTTAAGCCTGCCTTAGGACTAGGCCTGGCTAGGAGTCCTCTGGACGTCCCAAAGCTTGAGCCTCCACATCTATCCCCTGAAGATGGTCAACCATTTTGCTACTGAGACACCTCCCTCTAAGGATGTTTCCACGTTTCCTATAGAACTCCCTTGGGGCATGTCCACTTTTCTACTCCCTGGAGACAGTCTGCACTCATGCTAACCCACCCAAGTTATTTCTCTGCATGTTGTTACCCCTCTCGTTTCTGCGGTATGTTGTCTCTTGCCACAGAATCATCCAACATCCATCAACAGAGTATTTCCACATTTGCAGACCCATAGCGGGCTCCAGAAGGAAGTGCTCCCTGGGTGCTAGCTTCTCTGGTGGGAGATCTACAGAGATTATAAAAGGTGGGGCACCCCCAACTAGTGTCTGCCCAATATAAGGCACATATCCCAACCCATCTGTCAGCCACAGGGAGTTAGTGATTCAGTCACCAAAATTCCAGAAAGTTTGGCCCCTCCTGAAGGAAGAGAAGACTGGAGCCTTGGTGAGGCACACCCTCCTTGCAAAGACCTACTACTTCATTGAGAAGATGAAAGTGAAGAACTGTTGCTGGGCCCTCATATTCACCTGGCCCATTTTACAACTTGAGAATCAGAGGAAATTGGCCTAGCCAAAGACACACAGCCAGATGGTGGCCAGGCAGGTCTAGTCCCAGGTCAGTAAACATGCAATCCAGAGTATATACAAGAAGGTCTCAGCAAACAATCCCCCAAAAATATAATGAGTCAGAGGAGAAAGGGAGGCCAGACAGGAATCTGGACTTTTCAAGGTGCTGCTCGCCTCAAAACCCCTCTCTCCCCAGCTATGAAAGGGTTCAGAGTTCCTAATACCAAGATTCATCATGCATTTTCCAGAGCACCCACTGTGTACCAGGATCCATTGTGGGTCTCCTCAAATTACAGACAGATTAAGGTAAAGGAACCTCAGTGGGAGGAAGCTCCCTGCCTGAAGTCACACAGCAAATAAGTGACAGAGCCAGGAGTGACAGCAGCACCAGCCAGCCAGTGCCCGCCCCCTCTCATGACCACTAGGGGAGCCTCCCAGATTTTCTTCCCCAGCTTTGCCAGCTTCCTGGTTCTCACATTCCCAGCTCTGCTCCAGGGAGAACCATTCCCTTTAATAACTACAGCAGCTGTGCCCAGAATAGCACTTGAGCCCCAAGCCACCTCTACCCCACCCATCCTTTAGCAAAGCCCAGGCTGGGACAGTCTCTGGGCCCATCCACTTGGAAAGCCAGAAGCTCTCCTTCTACTCCTTTCTTCTGGACCTCTCTGTAAGTAGAGAGGCGGGCAGCACAAGCCTAGTAACCACCAGCACTAGGCCAGGTCATGTCCTTCTTAGCTGACAATGCTAGAGGTTGGAGAGGTAATAAAGGGCCAAGCAGGAAACTCTCACCCTCCATCCCACCCCAACTTCAGCCCCAGAGACACCCTGATGCAGCCAATGACTCACCTTTCTGTGGTCAACAGCTGAGAGGCAGCAATTTTATTGGGCCTTGGGACTCCAAGGTACAGAGTGAGTGTCAGGGTCACAAAAGGGGACCCAGTCCCCAGAGGCCTCCTGGAAAAAGATCCAGGGGACCTAAGAGCTCCATAAAATTTGCATGGCAATGAGCCCAAGGTGGAGTCCCCAGTGTTGGGAGGATGTGTAACTTGTTACTTGTACTGAGCTCCTACTAGGTATGTGCCATGGCGAATGCATCTATCATTCACCCAGTAGGCATGACTCTAATTGGCTTCATGACCTGGAGTAAGCAATTTCCCCTCTCTGGGCTTCAGTTTCCTCTTCTGTGATATGGAGTCCAAGACCCCTTGATGGGGGCTGGGAGTGACATCAGCTAAAGCGCTGCACACAACAGCGATTAGGAAGATCAGGCTCTGGCTTGATAGTCCGGGGGTGCACAGCTTGGAGCTGGAGAGAGGGTATTCCGCCATCTGGCGCTGCCCCCCAACGACCTAGAACTGGAGCTCTGGGCTGCCTCTGAACTCCAACCTAGAGTCAGCAGCGCCGCCGGGATCGAAGTAGGGGATCGGAGCCCTGACTTCAACACCTGGGTTAGCCCAGGAAACTGCCGAGGCCCCTCCGGTCCTGCTGCCTTTCAGTGTTCCTCACCCGTGGGCCGGGCCCCGACGCAGCGCTTACCGGGTCACCGGAGGACAGGCGACCCGAGCCGGGGGGCGGTACCGGCCTTGGTGACGTCTCAATGTCATATGCAAATAGAGAGACGTCATGGTCTACCGGCGTGCGGCAGCCAATCGGGAGATGGGAACGACTGCCACCGGCGGAGACAAAGACCCGGGAGCTGGGAGCGCGGGGCGTGTTAAGGGACGCAGGACCCCCTGGGCCGAAGCTGGTCAGGACTCACCTGGGGGAGAGGGAAGTGCGGCGGGCGGGGTGGCTCTGAGGTAGTTGAGCGGCGGAGCGTCCCGGCGTCGGCGCTGATCACAGGCCGGGCTGCATCGCGGACGCTGGACTGGGAGGCGGCCGGGCACCGGCTGGGAAGTTCGCGGCTGCTGCGCTCGCCTGCGGGGCTTTGAGACTGTGCAGCCGCTGCGGGGCTCACAGCACAAATTGGAACGTTCAAACAGCTGATTGTGACGTCACAAAGGGGCCCGCCCGCCCGGCGTCACCAGCCCGCGGAGTGGTGGCCAATCGCAGGCTTCGGATCCCCCCTCCCCACCCCCACCAAGATTCGCTGGCTAGTGGCTCCTGCCAGACTCCGAGCCTCGAGTCTCGGGGGGCCTCCCGGAGAGGCCACTGCTGGGGTCTTTGACCCCTTGCCCCAAGGGAGACCTACAGACCTCTTACTGAGGAAGCACCCCACTCCCTACGAGGCCCCCATCTTCCTGCATTTCCTCGGTATGTTCTAGCGTCCTTACCTATCTCACTGTTCCCCGTATCCTTCCACCGGCATCCTCTCTCCAAGTCCCCTAATCCGTACCCTTTTCTAAACTTCACACCACGTCCGTGCACGTTCGTTCTCCCCAGCAACCTTCTCCCTGCTCTCCTTCCCTCTTCTCTCACCGTGTCACCCCTTCACAATCTCTGCTTTCCCCGCTCTATTTTTCCTCAGCCGGGCAGGCTTGGGAGGTAGGGGACATCCCTTTCCCTGGTTCCAGGGGAGCATCCAGGAGTGTAGAGGAATTGGCTCCGCTGACGGGAAATTTTGCAGAGTGGGACTTGGATAGGAATTGCCCTGGCCTGAATAGCTCATCTAGAGATGGCTCTGTACTGGAACATTTACACTTTATTTAATCCACGTTGCTACCAGGGCCAGACAGAAAAGTGACAGGACAAGGATTATTAGTCCTGATTTACAAACGAGGGAATTTACAGGCTCACAAATCTCACTGTTAGTAGGTGGATTCATTTTCAATTATGCATTCAAAAAACATTTATTGAGTATCTACTCTTGCCTCTGCCAGACCACTAGCTGACCATTTACTAAACACTGAATGCCAGGCACCAATTGTACTATAACACTTTACATGTGTTTTGATTTTCACAACACCCCCAAAAGGTGAGTATTCTCCCCATTTTCCAGTTGAGGACACAGACTCAGCCTGACTTCCTACAGGTTGCAAAGCTATAGTATATAGCAGAACCAGGACCTGAAGACATAGTGCCTGGCCCCAACCCTCTTCACTCTCTCCATGCATCAGATTGTCCAAATCCCAGAGTGCTTCAGCCTCTGCACGGAAACCTAGGCCCAGTCCTGACTACCTCAAACTTGCTGTGTGGCCTCAAGCAAGTCATGTTACCTCTGTGGGCCTCAGTTTCCTTTTCTGTCAAATTTAACATGTCCAAGCATCCAGAAATTCTTTCAGATTCCCTACTCTCAGGATTCTGCCAAGCCATGTTCTAGACCCCAGTCTCTTCCAATGGCCTGGGAAATCCATCTGGGGAGAGACCACAACTACACATCCTCTCCAGGGCTGGAGGTTCTGGGTCCTTTCTCAGTAGAGCAGGGCTGATGGGGATGGGTCTGAGAGCTGCCCATCTGGCCCAACAGGTGGCAGGGAGTGAGCTTCATGCTCTGCTGATAAAATCCTGCTCCAGCCAAGTCTGAAACTCCAGAGGGACTCCTCAACCCTAGCAACTAGGAGAAGGAGCCAGGAAATGCAACCCAGAGGCTCCTGGGGGGCGGAGCAAGCAGTGTTTTGGCCCTTTGAGTGGTGTCCCCAAAGTGTCCTCATTCTGTGCAGCCCTGAACCTCTGCTCTTTACATCTACTTCCTGCTAACTTCATATCCTCTCTTGACCTCCTTGCTGACTTAAACTAAATAATCCCTAACATGCCTCTCCCGTCACACCATTTGCCTCTTCTAAAAACTTCTGTGGCTCCCAATGTATTACAGTCCTTAACACAGCATTTGTTAATTTGTTCAGCCTTCCACAAACCAGTCCTAGCTCTCTTGGGCTTCATCCCCACTTCTCCTACATGCAGCTTGTGTTAATGTCAAATTCCTCACTGTCTCTTCAACACTCTCCCACAGCCATGCTATTGCTCAAGCTGTTTCCCCTGCCTGGAATGCCCTCTTCATGCCTTTCTGAATTCATATATTTTCTGTCTTCAGGATTCTACTCACCTCTTCTTCCTCCAGGTAGCCTTCCCCATCCATGTGTCCAGAGCTATGATGATGGACAGTCATTTATTCAGTAAACAAGAAGTGGTGATGACTAAACGTGTGTGTGTGTGTGTGTGTGTGTGTGTGTGTGTGTGTGTCTTCTCCAATGGATGGTTGGCATCCAAGGGTTGTAATTTCTATCCATATACTACCCTCACTCAGCCTATGCTGGGACTGGCAGAGTAGACTCCAACCAAAAGCTCAGCATTTACAGATCAAGAAGGGTGACTGGTATAGGAGTCTTCACTTGGACCCTGGACCCTGGTATAGGAAGCATTCTGTTGGGCACAGAATTTTGGTTCCCCAAGCCCAGGGAAGAGGCACCTGGCACACACTCTGATACCCTAAATGAGCTAGATTCTGCTCCCAGCTTTGGCTGAACTCCATGTACAGGCTGCTAAGGCAGATCTGATAAAATCCAGTCTTCCATTTCTCTGTAGAATCAAAGGTACCTTTGGAAGTAGTGTTATCTTCTCCTGGAACCCCTAGGACCCATCTCTCTGCAATGCAGATTTATTATCAGGGCTGGAGGCACCTCAGATCTTAATTCATCCAAACTCTTCATCTTACAGGTGGAGAAACTGAGACACACTGAGGCACAGAGAGGTCAAGTTACCTGCTTAGAATTGTAGACCAGCAGAGCTATCTCCTGAACCTAGTGGCAAAGGAGTGGGGAAGCTTAGTATTCTGGGACCCTGGTCTGGGCCTGAGGGTTGTAAAAAGAGGCAGTGGGCACCATGCTGGGGGTAATCCTGGAGATTTAGTTCCAATTAGAGAGCTCCATTGCTGGATAGACATGGATGTTTACACATTCACATGGAGGCATCCATGTACAAACATACACACATGCACATGAACTCACAAGCGCGGAATTTACAGATGCCCATGCCCATCCCATTCCTGCTCAGATATAAGCACCTTCCCAGTTTTATGGGCTCCAGGATTAGAGGTCAAGAGGCCACACTTCTATTCCTGTCTGGGCCTGAGGCTTGCCCTCACCAAACCCTGGGGCCTCTCCAATGGCTTGGGGCCCCCCACTTCAAAGGGCAGAGATGTGTCAGATGTGTCAGCCTGGGTGTATCCTTCATGGGACCTTGTGTGTACTTGAATATATGAGCCCGCTGGAGAACTGCCTCACCACCCATCCCTCCCTTCATTCCCCTCTCAGATAGAGAGCAAGGCTGAGACAAAGACCACAGGGTAGCTTGGAATCTCAGTCAAAATCAAGAGTGCTGATCATTCAGAAACAGAGCCCTCCCTGCCCTCCACTAGCCCCAGAACTATAGTTAAATGAAAAGAGTAATCATGACACTATTGGGATTTCTACATGCCACCTACTACTCTGAGTCCTTACCCGTGTCAATAATTAATTTAATCTTCACAACAACCCTATTACGTAGATAATATTTTTCTTTCCATTTTACTGGCACAAGAAACTGGGACAGAGATGGGAAAAAATTTTAATTGGTAAAGCCAACTAGGGCAGACATAATCCCCAAATTCCTCCCAAACCAAATGGCCTATACCTTAACAGGAGCCATATCCCCAGAATTTCTATTCAAATAAGTTTGTTGTCCAACTCAGAGGTGTTTAAATTGAGAGTGAATGTGTGTGTGTGTGTGTGTGTGTGTGTGTGTATGTGTGTGTGAGCACCATGAAAAAGACCTTGGGCTGATTGTCAGTAAATCCAAATTTCAGTCCTGGTTCTATCATGGGTTCATTGCCTGGGTTCCTGGGTAAGTCACTTTCTTTGTCAGTTTTCCCATCTGCAGAGTGGCTGGCCCCATGCTTTCTAAACTGTAGCTCCAGTCCCAACCTTCAGGCTTCCGAGTTTGTCTGTGTCTGTTTGTCTTCCCTGGAGGAAGGAATAGTCAGGACAGGATTCATTTCAAGAAGAGGAGGCAGGTGACAGGAAGTGAAATGCCTGGCTTGGTTAGTCCACCTGCCCATGGTTTGAGGATGGGGTGGTGACTTTGGGGTTCCATGGGCATGTTTGAGTGTGGAAAATTACCCAAGTGAGCTGTTCTGGTGTGAATGACCTGCGTGAATTCCCACATTTAGAACTTTTGAAAGGAAACAAGGGCATCCCTCCAGCTTGAGGCTGGGAAGGAGAAAGCAGACAGTGGGGTTCCCTCCTGCTGAGGCAGCCACTCTTCTAGGAACAGATGGGCTCCCCGCAGCTCAGACCGCTGCCCTTTTCTGCTCATAGCTCCTCCTTGCCTCCCTACCATCTCTAGGCTGCAATTCACATGGCAGACCAGGCATGCTTTCATGGTACTTGGTACACAGTAAATTTTCAGTAAGTACTGACTGGAGTGGTGAGTGAAGCTGCCCTCGCCCATTTGTTTAGCCTTCTCCGTCAACACATACACACACACACACTGCAAATGATCATACTCCAAACTACCACCAACTTTCCTGCTTCCAGGATTTTACGCTCGCAGTTTCCTCTTCCTAGGGAACCCTTCCCTCTCCCCCTACCTAACCTCCATGTGTCTAGACCCTCTCTAGTCTTCAAGATTAATGTAATTGGCAGCTTATATTTATTGAGCATTTACTGTATGCCTGTCACTCTCCAGGATGGACAGTGTTTCTATCCCCATTTTACAGATGAGGAAATTGAGTCTCAGACAGCTCAGGCCCAAGATCATGTTTCTGTATATATATAGCAGTGTATAGAAATATTGTATGCACATATGTGTACATAAAATAATAAATAGCATAAAAATTATAAAGCCTATGTGTGAAAAATGTATGATGTTTTTACCTAACATAAAATCATTTTCTCAAGCAGCACTCCCATGTGGGCCTTTAAGGAGAAAACTGCAATGCTTTGGAGATGCCCACATGGCATGGACCCAAGAGGGGCCTCTAGAAGCTGAGAGCAGCCCCCAGATAACAGATAGCAAGAAAATAGGGATCTCAATAATATGGCTGCAAGAAAATGAATTCTGCCAACAACCTGAGGGAGCCTGGAAGACAAACTTCCCCTATTTGAGTCTCCAGATGAAGACACGGCTGGTCAACACCTCAGTTTCTCTCTGTGGGTCCCTAAGCAGAGAATCCAGATGAACTGTGCCTGGACTTCTGACTAATAAAACTGTAGCTAATAAATAAGTGTTGTCTTGAGCCCTTAAGATTATAACACAACTATAGAAGACTTCTATGCATGTGTTCAAAAGCTTTTTGCATGAAAACCAAGAGGCAGCTTGAGTTACAAATCTTACTCTAGTACACTTTGTCTTCTTTTAAAGGTATTTTTTAAAGTTTATTTTTTTATTATTTTGAGAGAGAGAAACAGAGAGAGAGTGCAAGTGGGGGAGGGCCAAAGAGAGAGGGAAAAAGAGAGAATCCTAAGCAGGCTCTGCACTGTCAGTATAGAGCCCAATGTGGGACTCAGACTCACAAACTGTGAGATCATGACCTGAGCCGAAGTTGGACACTTAACCAACTGAGCTATTCAGGAGCCCCAACTAGTACATTTTGTCTTAGTGCAAATGTTTTTGTGAAATTCATAATGGTGTTATAAATGGGCATTTTTTTCTATCTTTTTTCTTTTGCCAAAGTCATATACTTGAAACTGAGTAACTTGAGTATGTGGATTGCAACTCCAGGTATATATCAGCCAAAAGGCACTTCTTCCAGAAAGCTTTCCAAGATCTCTTTGGGAAGAAACCTCTCCCTCCTCAGAGCCCCCAGGACATATTGTCTGCCTGTCTCTTAGAGCATTACACACTTTCAATTCACCACACTCAGTTAATGACTAGTTATTCTCTGGGAGATAGATACTTTTTCTATACTTGAGAATCTCCTTCAGTCTAAACAGAAACAACCAAGAGACATCATAATACAGGGAGATAAGGGCTATGGCAGTAGGTAGGACAAGATGCTAGGGGAATCCAGAGAGAGAGAGAGAGAGAGAGAGAGATTGATGCAGGGAAGACAGGGTATTTGAGGTAGGCTTTGAACGGTGAGTAGAAACTTGCCTTGGGACAAATGGGTTAAATGGCCTGAAATTTTATCTCAAATCAGGAGCCCTGCACCCTGTCTTGTCTCTGCTTCTGACTTGCTATATAATTTTGGGTGACTTTCTGTCCCTCCATTGGTTTCTGTTTCTGTGTCTGTACAATGGGGACATTAATGGGGAATTCCTTTGTCTGTTTACTTGTTTTCTGCCCATGACTTTCTAAGGAGAGTTTTATTTTGTCTGGCTTCTTTTCTCTTTTTTTTCTTTTTTTTGAGATACAAAAGTAGGATAACAGGATGACAGACACTGAATGGAAAGGTGGGGAGGAAAAAGAAAAGCAAGACTGTGGAAAGGGCCTAGGGGGACGATTTTTGATGGAAAGTGACAAGTTTGGTGAATGAGGGGCACTGAGAGGCAACAATGTGGTGTGAGAGGGTTAATGAGGACCCAGGAGATTCTAAAGAGTGTTGACATGGATCGGAGCCCCTGTGGGGTCGTTCAAGAATGACAAATAAATATTAGAATCATTTATTTTTATTTTTATTTTTTTGAAGTCAACAAATATTTATTGAGTGCCTGTTTTGTGTTAGATATTGTTCCAGATACTTGGGACACATGAGAGAATGCCACAAAAGTCTCTGGCCTCATGGTGCTTACAGTCTAGCGTTTATTACCATTGCACTTGCACACTGTCTGTGATCCTAGGCAAGTCACTGCACCTCTGTCCACTTGTCATCCACTGTCCAACGCAGGAATAAGCAGGCCCTGCTCAAACATGGGTAACATGCTTGGTGCACTATAAATGCCCACCCCCAACCTTGCACCACCCAGACAATAGAAAGTGTTGGACTTTTAGTAGTAAAGCACTGGGAGAAAGGGCGAAGGGATTTGAGTTGGGTGGTCCTGTGTCCTGCCACACCGGGGCAGGACTAGCTACTAGTTTGGCTAGCGACACAAACTGCTGCTGCTGCTGCTGCTGCCTTTCTGCCTTGCTGGCAAGGTCGTCGGCCTTCTCTGTAGCTGCCAGTGCCGTCTCCTTTGCCTTCTCTTTGGCTTCCTTGGCTGTCTCAACAAGGGGTTTGGAAGGGGCCTCACCTTGCAGCTTGGCCAAGATGGATTCAAAGCCTTTCATAGTCTTGGTCATATTGCTTTTGAACCCGGCAAGGCCAAATTCCTGGACAGCTCTGGAGGCACAAAATAAGCTGGAGGAGACCCAGGCTTCCCAGCAGGTTTCGGTCCAGCCGCTGTTATCAGAGTTCACACAGTAAACACGTAGTTCTTCCACCACCAGCAGCCGGGCATGGTTGGTGTTCCAGGTGAAGGTGGTCATTGTCTGGTTCTGCAGGTCCACAGTAGAATCCTCCAGGATGTACACCGAGGGAGCAACATTGACAAGAAACAGTCGCTGCACCCAGCAGGGCATCCTATTGGTCTTGGTCAGGAGACACTGAGACAGGAGCTTCTGGTCATGGGCCACCTCTTGGTGCACTGTGTCTTCCGTCAAGACATGTTTGCTATAGGGAATTGGGTCCGCTGCCAGAAGGCAGCCAATACTTGGTCCCAGGAACTGTGGAGCAAGCACGTTCTGGCCCAGAAATACGTCACCATCTTCCAGGCCTGGGGGTAGGAGTGTGGGTATGTGTGTGTGTGTGCGGGGGGGGGGGGGGGGGGGGGGGGGGTTATGCCCAAGCACAAGCAGCAGCCCCAGCCTGAGGAGTTGTCTGGCCATAAGCCTAGAGCCATCTTAAAATTACTTTTGGGAGTTGGACTGATGCTCTTGGATTTAATACATTTTAATTCATTTCTGAATAGATTAAAATGCACACAATTCAAAAGCCCAGAGAATAAAAGGATATAGGTTTCCTTCTCATTTCTACTCCTAGCACCTCCAATCAACTTCTGCTCTCCAGGGGTGACTGCTGTTACCCAGCCTCTGTGTGAGGTGTCGGAAATATTCTTTACATACACATATGTATATGTATGTACGTATGTATATGTGATCTCCCCATTTTGAACACAAATGAAAGCTGTGTATACTGTTCTAAAATTTGCTTTTTAATTTTTAAAAAAATTTTTTAACATTTATTTATTTTTGAGAAGCAGAGAGACAGAGCATGATCGGGGGAGGGGCAGAGAGAGAGGGAGACACAGAATCTGAAGCAGGCTCCAGGCTCTGAGCTGTCAGCACAGAGCCAGACGTGGGGCTCGAACCCACAAATTGTGAGATCATGACCTGAGCTGAAGTCGGAGGGTTAACCGACTGAGCCACAGAGGCACCCCTGAAATTTGCTTTTTAATTTTTTAACGTTTATTTATTTTTGAGAGAGACAGAGTATGAGTGGAGCAGGGGCAGAGAGAGAGGGAGACACAGAATCTGAAGCAGGCTCCAGGCTCTAAGCTGTCTGCAAAGAGCCCGACGCAGGGCTTGAACTCAAACTGTGAGATCATGAGTTGAGCTGAAACTGGACACTTAATTGACTTAGCTACCCGGGCAGCCCTGAAATTTGCTTTTTTTAACTCAACAATGTAACATGGAGATCAGTCCCTAATAATTCATAGTACTTCCTCATTCTTTGTTAATAGCCACACAGTATTACATTAATTATATCATAGTATGGATAGATTGAAGTTGTCCAATCAGTCCCCTGTAGCTGAGCATTTGCTTTGTTTCAACAATTTATCCTTTATTCTGCCATTCTTGAATGCGACATTGGAGGCTAAGCCTGGGCCATGTGGGGCCTTGGGATTTATTTGGACTATGGGATATATGGGCTCAATAGGATCTTTGAAAGATACTGATTCATTCTCTGACCAAGCTCTTCCCACCACCCTTTCCCTTGGTTTTCTACTCACCCAACCTCTGGGCCCAGAGTGGCAGCCTCAGTCCTTCACCATGACCTGCTCTCTGAGGTCCTTTGAACTCCTTCCACTCCATAAAATCCTCCTGGCCTGATTCCCTTGATTCAAGCCAAGAGTTGACCGATGGGATCTTTGGGTAGAAAAACTAGGGATAGAGACTCTGAATAGACTGTAAATATTTATTGACCAATTTCTGAACTTACCTGGGTACTTCCTGCTTATTCTCCATCTACTTGTCTGTTTTTCTATGGATTTTGTTCCCCTTGTCTGCCAAAGGAATTCTCTGGGTATCTGTCAGGGGGTAGAACCTTACTTGTGGGTGTTAAAAAAAATGTGCCTTCTTGGGGTGTCTGGGTGGCTCAGTATGTCAAGCGTCTGACTCTTGATTTCAGCTCAGGTTATGATCATGCAGTCATGAGATGGAGCCGTGCATTGAGCCCCAAGTCAGGCTCCCAGCTGAGCTTGCAGCCTGCTTAAGATTCTCTCTCCCTCTCCCTCGACTCCTCCCCCTATTTGTGCAAGCATGGTCTCATGCGCACATGTTCACTCCCTCAAAATAAATAAATAAACATTTTTAAAAATGTGCCTTCTTGTAGAAGAAACCCTTCCACCTGTAATAGAATTGCATGGAATGGGTATGTAGAGATCATCTATTGCACTAAGTTTATAGATGAGGAAACTGAAGTGTGGATGAGGGGGAAGGGCTTGCCCAAGGTAATTGAATGAGCGAGTGAAAGGACAGGAAAGACACCGGAAGCTTCCATTTCCAGTTCTTACCTCTTCCCTCTCTTCTCCAAGAGTTCAAACTCAGTCAACCTTTATTCTCACAAATTCTAGTATATAAAGGTAACAGAAACATGGAAAGAGCCTAAGTGTCCATCAACGGATGAATGGATCAAGAAGATGTGGGTTTATCTATAAGATGGAATACTACATGGCAATGAGAAAGAATGAAATCTGGCCATCTGTAGCAACATGGATGGACCTTGAGGGTGTTATGCTGAGCGAAATAAGTCAGGCAGAGAAGGACAAATACCATATGTTTGCACGTATAGGAGGATTAGGAGGAAGTTAACGGAGGACGATGCAGGAGAAGAAGGGGAAAAATAGTTGGGGAGAGGGAGGGAGACAAACCATGAGAGACTCTTGATGCTGAGAACAAACTGAGGACTGATGGATGTGGGGAGGGGAGGGGGGAGATGGGCATGGAGGAGGGCACTTGTGGGGATGAGCACTGGGTGTTCTATGGAAACCAACTTGACAATAAACTATTTGGAAAAAAAATAAAAATAAATATTTAAAAATAAAATTTAAAAAGGTAACAGAATTGCAGTATTATTCATATGATGGATGACTACTTAGCAATAAAAAGGAATAAACTATAATACCTTTTGTAAAAATATGGATGAACCTCAAGATATGATGCTGAACCAAAGAAACCAGATGCTAAAGAGTACATACCATACGATTCCATTAGTATGAACTTCTAGAACAGGCAAAGGAGTACACATACTGACAGAGAGCAGGTCCAAAGCTGCCTGTGAATGGGTGGAAGGACTGACTGAGTACAAAGGGGAGCAAAGGAATTTTCTGGAGTGATAAGGTGCTCTATATTTTGACTTTGGGAGTGAGTACATGGCGTCAAAATTCATTACACCTCAGCAAAGTTGGCTTAAAAAGGAAAAAAAAAGAAGCAACGTGGAAATATACTTACTCACTTTTTTTTTTTTTTAAATGTTTTATTTATTTCTAGGAGAGAGAGACAGCGTGAGCAGGGGAGGGTCAGAGAGAGATGGAGTCACAGACTGAAACAGGCTCCAGGCTCCGAGCTGGCAGTCAGCACAGAGCCCGACACGGGGCTCGAACCCACAAACCGTGAGATCATGACCTAAGCGAAAGTCGGAAAGTCAGACGCTTAACCGACTAAGCCACCCAGGCGCCCCATTTACTCACTTTATTTAAGAAAAGACAATGTTACCACTGACCTACATGCACAAAATCAACATTGACCAACTCATTTGAGAAGGGCAAGCTTAGCAGTTCATAACCCTCAGATCAGATGCTTTCCATCTTTGAAATGAAAGTGTCACAGATTTAGGTCAGAACATCATTTTCCTTAGGCTTTTGTTCAAGAGTGTCCTCTATCTCAAAATCATTCCTGACTTGGGTTGGATTAAAAAGCTAGTGACTACTGCTTCTCTGCTTTATATCAAGGTGATTTACTGGCTTGACAGATTTAATTTTTCTACTGCAGAGGTCTTCAAGGTGTTTCAGTTCTGTCTTTAAGAAAGAAAAATTAAATTAAAAAATAAATTAAATAAAATAATAAAAACCACTTCAAATGCATTTATATTCAAAATCCAAATACATTATTTTAAACAAGAAAAAAAGAAATATTATTTGTGCAAGCAATAACAACCATGGCTAATGTTAATTGATTGCTTTCTATGTTCTGGGAGGCATCCTAAAGGTTTATCACGTAGTATTTCATTACAGGTTCAGAACAATCATATAAGGGAGTTACTCTTATTATCCCCATCTTGTAGGCTTGAAAACTGAGGCACAGAGAGCCTGAATTATCTGCCCTAGGTTTGACAGCTACTAAGTGATAGACTGGGATATGAATCCTATTAGCCTGGTTCCAGAGCCCATCTAGCTATTAAGTACTCTATGGCATTAACATTCAACATGACTCAAGAGTGATAGCGATACCCTTTTGCTTTAGGATCCCTTCCTCACTGGTACCAGAAATTCCACCATTATTGCTTCCTCCCTCACGATTAAGCATTGCCCTGTTTAGATGCCTCCTAAAATACATTTAATTAAGAGAGCAGGAACGCTAAATCCCTACACATCTATCGACTGGGTTTTTTCACTGCGCTCTCCACTGAATGGACCGAGAGAGAAACACAGATTGGGAGGTGGGGAACAGGGTGGCAGGGCATTGAAGGGAATGAACAGAGAGGTAAGAGGTTGGAGCCAGATGTCCTAATTTTCCTGGGCTGGCCCTGCTCAACCTCACATCGATGGGGTCTCTGGAAATACAACCCCATAGCCAGTTGGCTCTGGTTCTCAGCCCAGAACTCTGGGGACAGGGAGTCAAGTGGGTGAGAGGTGACAGGAGAGGTTCTTTGGAGTGATGCTGGGAGTAGCTCAGGTGTCTCTGTCTGAGCCAAGGTATCCTTGGGGAAGGGCAGATGGGACAAAGGGCATGATAAAAATCCTTCTCTCAGAAAGAAAGTCAGCATCAGCCTCACTCTTTTGCCTTGGGGTAGTTGAATTCTATTTGCTTGAATTCTATTTTTAAAAATTAAAATGCATTTTAAGTAATGCAACAATTTATGTAAATTAAAATAAACAAATTTGGTAATTAAAAACATTGTAAGTATAAAATTCAAACAATCAAGATAAAGTCAAAGTTCCTTGACCATCTCTCATCCAATTCAAGAGATCTTCCACCACTGCCTCTAATTGGGAGTGTATCCTTTCCTTTTTTTTTTTCTTTAGAGAGAGGGAGAAGGCAAGCAAGGGTGAGGAGCAGAGAGAGGGAGAATATTTTTCTTAATTTTATTTATTGACTTTGAGAGAGAGTGAGCACACGAGCAAGCAAGGTAGGGAGAGAATCCCAAGCAGGCTCCACACTGCCAGCATGGAGTTCGATGCAGGGCTAGACACGGGGCTTAATGTGTGGTGCTTGAAACCACAAACCATAAGATCACAAACTGAGTTGAAACCAAGAGTGAGATGCT